TTTAGTCGAGAAGGTAATTTAACAACACATCTGAGAATACAAACTGGAGAGAAACCTTATACATGTGATGTTTGTAATAAGTCATTTAGTTAAAAAGGTAATTTAACAATACATCTGAGAACACATACTGGAGAGAAACCCTATACATGTGATGTTTGTAATAAGTCATTTAGTCAAAAAGGTAATTTAACAACACTTCTGAGAACACATACTGGAGAGAAACCCTATACATGTGATGTTTGTAATAAGTCATTTAGTCAAAAAGGTAATTTAACAACACATCTGAGAACACATACTGGAGAGAAACCTTATACATGTGATGTTTGTAATTAGTCATTTAGTCTAAAAGTAATTTAACAACACATCTGAGAACACATACTGGAAAGAAACCTTATAAATGTGATGTTTGTAATTAGTCATTTAGTCTAAAAGTAATTTAACAACACATCTGAGAACACATACTGGAGAGAAACCTTATACATGTGATGTTTGTAATTAGTCATTTAGTCTAAAAGTAATTTAACAACACATCTGAGAACCCATACTGGAGAGAAACCTTATACATGTGATGTTTGTAATTAGTCATTTAGTCTAAAAGTAATTTAACAACACATCTGAGAACACATACTGGAGAGAAACCTTATACATGTGATGTTTATAATAAGTCATTTAGTGAAAAGGGTAATTTAACAACACATCTGAGAACACATACTGGAGAGAAACCTTATACATGTGATGTTTGTAATTAGTCATTTAGTCTAAAAGTAATTTAACAACACATCTGAGAACACATACTGGAGAGAAACCTTATACATGTGATGTTTGTAATTAATCATTTAGTCAAAAAGGGAATTTAACAACACATCTGAGAACACATACTGGAGAGAAACCCTATACATGCGATGTTTGTAATAAATCATTTAGTCTAAAAGTAATTTAACAACACATCTGAGAACACTTACTGGAGAGAAACCTTATACATGCGATGTTTGTAATAAATCATTTAGTCTAAAAGTAATTTAACAACACATCTGAGAACACATACTGGAGATAAACCTTATACATGTGATGTTTGTAATAAATCGTTTAGTTAAAAAGGTAATTTAACAACACATCTGAGAACACATACTGGAGAGAAACCCTATACATGTGATGTTTGTAATAAGTCATTTAGTCAAAAAGGGAATTTAACAACACATCTGAGAACACATACTGGAGAGAAACCCTATACATGCGATGTTTGTAATAAGTCATTTAGTCTAAAAGTAATTTAACAACACATCTGAGACCACTTACTGGAGAGAAACCTTATACATGCAATGTTTGTAATAAATCATTTAGTCTAAAAGTAATTTAACAACACATCTGAGAACACATACTGGAGATAAAACTTATACATGTGATGTTTGTAATAAATCGTTTAGTTAAAAATGTAATTTAACAACACATCTGAGAACACATACTGGAGAGAAACCCTATACATGTGATGTTTGTAATTAGTCATTTAGTCTAAAAGTAATTTAACAACACATCTGAGAACACATACTGGAGAGAAACCTTATACATGTGATGTTTGTAATTAGTCATTTAGTCTAAAAGTAATTTAACAACACATCTGAGAACACATACTGGAGAGAAACCTTATACATGTGATGTTTGTAATGAGTCATTTAGTCGAAAAGGTAATTTAACAACACATCTGAGAACACATACTAGAGAGAAACCCTATACATGTGATGATTGTAATTAGTCATTTAGTCTAAAAGTAATTTAACAACACATCTGAGAACACATACTAGAGAGAAACCTTATACATGTGATGTTTGTAATAAATAATTTAGTCTAAAAGTAATTGAACAACACATCTGAGAACACGTACTGGAGAGAAACCCTAACAATAAAATGCTAAGTAGGAATAAAGTAACAGGGTCAAGGTCATTATTGCGCATGTGCACAAGCCCCCGGCTAAGTGGGCCAAGTTGGCCCGTCCCAGTGGCGCGTTTACACAGCACTAATATTTTGCCGTGCCGTACTCGGTCCGGACCGAGACCACCTCTTCTTGCGAGACTCGCCCCACTTGAAACTAGCACGGTGCCGAGCCCTCTTAACCCGTTTACACAGCCACTTTTTGTCCCGAACCGTACTCGGACCTGGCCCGGATAAATTGTGGCTGTCTAAACGCGGCTATAGTGTCATGTAGGTAATAAGAGAGAGCAAACAACTTACA